GGGGAGAGGAGGCGAGCCATCGACCCAGACGGACGGGGGAGGAGGGATTGGGGGGGTGGGGGGGGGGCGAAAGCACGGGAGAGTCGCTCTATCCCTCCGTTTGCCGTCAGCGTCGCGGTTTGGTGGCTGTCAGCGTGTGAGCTCGAGAGGTGGGACATACCGGTCACGTGGGCGCGCCGACTTGGTGAATTTCTTTTTCCCGAAATGATAACGAATATTTCCTCGCCCGGCGCGACGGAACACGGCCGTTGGATGCTATGCACAAATCTCCGCGTGCCGTTTCGGGCGAATCGGTCGTGGTGCGACCATTCGCTCTGAAGAGTAACTCGGCATGGGAATGGGCACGGTCGGCCCGCCGGGTGGCTGACCCGGCCTGAAAATCAAGGCCAATGGGTCGTGTGGATCGGCCCCGAACCATGGTCAATGGAGTAGTATGACTTCATCGCATAGTATGACTGGTTTTTCCCTTGTCGCCCCCTGCCACTCGTTGTCTCGCCGTCTAGCTCGCCCCGGCCGCCGTTCCGCTTGTTGTGCAGCCCGCCGTCCTATTCCTCTGCTGCTCGTCCTGCTCGAAGATTACGCTTCTGGTCGGCTTCCTCACCTTCCCCGCGCAGCTGCCAATCACATGTGAGACTAGTATGAGGCTCTTGCTTCTACACTAGTGGTTGGGGCCCGCCATTGCTGACCTCTTGAGAGAAAATTATGCGTGTATTTCTCCCTCTCGAAGAAAAACATCAACTTCATTTAAAAAAAAACTTTCTCACAACACGTGAACATCACATCCATCTCGAAAAGAAAAAGATAAGGCCTAAAAAACAGTCTTAAAATGAAAAAAAACAAAAATCTCACTTGCATCTTTCAAAAATAATCTCTAAAAAACTTTTCTCAAAAGAAAAAAGGTCTCAATTTCATCTAAAAACAAAAGGTTTTCTCAATTTCATCTTAAAAAAGATCAAAAAGTTTCTTGCCACGGCCAACCAGCATGCGCCACATGACCATGCCGGTTGGCCGCCATTCTCCCGTAGCTTAATGGCTTTGATGCTCTAGTTGTTTGCTAGCGCTCGTCGTGCTCTACTTCTTATTCAACATCTTAATACTTTGTGTTAACTACAATGCTTGTCCGATGCACACAAATTTTGTAGTGTTGCTAGTTATGTGATATTTTTAACTCACATCCAACAATATTAACTCGCAATAGCCGGTAACCTTGAGCACATGACGAAGGCAATGAACGTCCTAATTTATTGGATCATTTGTCAGGTCTGATCTTTGCTATTAGGTGTTTGCAAAGTTCGCTTGTGAATGTCATTACTATGGGGTGTTGGGAAACGTAGCATGCAATTCCAAAAAAAATTCTACGCTCACGCAAGATCTATCTAGGAGATGCATAGCAACGAGAGGGGAAGAGTGTGTCCACGTACCCTTGTAGACCGAAAATGGAAGCGTTAACTTAACGCGGTTGATGTAGTCAAACGTCTTCTCGATTCAACCGATCAAGCACCGAACGTACGGCACCTCCGAGTTATGCACACGTTCAGCTCGATGACGTCCTTCGAACTCTTGATCCAGTAGAGGTACGAAGGAGTAGATAAGTTCCGTCAGCACGGCGGCGTGGTGATGGTGATGGTGATGTGATCCGCGCAGGGTTTCGCCTAAGCACTACGATAATATGGCTGGAGGAGTAAACAATGGAGGGGGGCACCGCACACGGCTAAGAAATGATTGATGTGCCTTGAGGTGCCCCCCCGCCCCGTATATAAAGGAGGAGAGGGGAGGAGGCCGACCCTAGGGTGCGCGCCATGGGGGAGGGGAGTCCTACTAGGACTCCAAGTCCTAGTTGCCCCTCCTTCCAACAGAGGGGAGAAGAGGAAAGAGAGGGAGAGGGAGAAGGAAAGGGGGGGCGCGCCCCCTCCCCTAGTCCAATTCGGACTCCCCATGGGGGGGGGGCACCACCATCTTGTGGTCTGCCTTGCCTCTCCCCTATGGCCCATGAGGCCCATTACTTCCCCCTGGGGGGGGGGAGGTTCCGGTAAACCCTCGGTACTCCGAAAAATACCCGAAACACTCTGAAACCATTCCGGTGTCCGAATATAACCTTCCAATATAACAATCTTTACCTCTTTACCATTTTGAGACTCCTCGTCATGTCCGTGATCTCATCCGGGACTCTGAACAACCTTCTGTCACCAGAACACATAACTCATGTAATACATATCGTCATCAAACGTTAAGTGTGCGGACCCTACGGGTTCAAGAACTATGTAGACATGACCGAGACACCTCTCTGGTCAATAACCAATAGCGGAACCTGGATGCTCATATTGGTTCCCACATATTCTACGAAGATCTTTATTGGTCGAACCGCAATGTCAACATGCGTTATTCCCTTTGTCATCGGTATGTTACTTTGCCCGAGATTCGATCGTGGGTATCTTCATACCTAGTTCAATCTCGTTACCGGCAAGTCTCTTTACTCGTTCCATAGTGCATCATCCCGCAACTAACTCATTAGTCACATTGCTTGCAAGGCTTCATATGATGTGCATTACCGAGAGGGCCCAGAGATACCTCTCCGATACTTAGAGTGACAAATCCTAATCTCGATCTATGCCAACCCAACAAACACCTTCGGAGATACCTGTAGAGCATCTTTATAATCACCTAGTTATGTTGTGACGTTTGATAGCACACAAGGCATTCCTCCGGTGTCCGGGAGTTGCATAATCTCATAGTCGGAGGAATATATATTTGATATGAAAAAGCAGTAGCAATAAAATTGAACGGTCATTATGCTAAGCTAACGGATGGGTCTTGTCCATCACATCATTCCACTAATGATGTGATCCCGTTCATCAAATGACAACTCATGTCCATGGCTAGCAAACTTAACCATCTTTGATCAACGAGCTAGTCTAGTAGAGGCATGCTAGGGACACGATGTTTTGTCTATGTATTCACACATGTATCAAGTTTCCGGTTAATACAATTCTAGCATGAATAATAAACATTTATCATGAATAAGGAGATATAAAATAACAACTTTATTATTGCCTCTAGGGCATATTTCCTTCAGTCTTGCACTTGCACTAGAGTCAATAATTTAGATTACATAGTAATGAATCTAACACCCATGGAGTCTTGATGTTGATCATGCTTTGCTCGTAGAGGAGGCTTAGTCAACGAGTCTGCAACATTCAGATCCGTATGTATTTTGCAAATCTCTATGTCTCCCTCCTTGACCAAATCTCGGATGGAGTTGAAGCGTCTCTCAATGTGTTTGGTCTTTTTGTGAAATCTGGAGTCCTTCGCCAAGGCAATTGCTCCAGTATTGTCACAAAAGATTATCATTGGACCCAATGCACTAGGTATTACACCTAGATCGGATATGAACTCCTTCATCCAGACTCCTTCATTGGCTGCTTCCGAAGCAGGTATGTAATTCGCTTCACACGTAGATCCCGCCACGACACTCTGCTTGATACTGCACCAACTGACAGATCCACCATTCAATAAAAATATGTATCCGGTTTGTGACTTAGAGTCATCTGGATTAGTGTTAAAGCTAGCATCGACGTACACTATAGGAATCAAGCACTTTCCCATCAGCCATGGCTGACGGCAAAGGCATGCCAGGCGGACGGCAAAGGGCTTTGCCTTCTGCCAGCAGAATGCAATAGGTCCAGCTGAATAGGCTACGACAAAGGCCTCTTTGCCGTCTGCTGGCAGACGGCAAAGATGCAAAGACCTTTGTCATCTGTTGGCAGACGGCAAAGATCCTGGACGGCACACGTGGCAGTTCAGGTCCGTTAAGTGGTTAACAACATGGTTTGCCGTCAGCTGGCAAAAGGAAAAGGCCTTTGCATTTTTGCCGTCAACCAGCAGACGACAAAGATGCAAAGGCCTTTGTCATCTGCTAGCCGATGAAAAATCTGCCAAATAGGCCATCCCAATACACACCAGGTTGCACAGGTAGCTGCCATGTGGCAGCTTTGCCGTCCGCTAGCTGAAGGCAAAGACCTTTGTTGTTTGCCAACAGACGACAAAGTGGCTATATAGCCACTGTTTTTTTTTGTTTTTTCTTCAATTCATTCAATTTGACAGAATTTCACACACACACACACACACACACACACACACACACACATATATATACACACACACATTTCAAAATAATTTCAACAATCATACCAACAATAAGTTTCCAACAACATATATAAGTTTCCAACAAGATGTACATATACAAGTTTCCAACAACATGTACATATACAAGTTTCCAACAACATACAATGGTTTCCAACAACATTTCCATACATACATATCCAACAAGTTTCCATAAACAAAAAGGAAGCACAAGTAGAAGAGTACACTCCATCAATGCAAGCTTCCTCATCTCAAGCAAATCTGTTAATTAGGAAAGATGAAAGTTAGAAGAAGAAGAAGACTAGCTAGAAGAAGAAGAAGAAGAATTTATCTTCTCTTTCTTTTTCTTCTCTCCTCTTCTTTATCTTATTCTTCTTCTAACTAAGGTAGGTAAAAATGCCATTTTTAGCGAAGGTAGGTAAAAATGCTAAGTGTGTAGGTCATTTTAGAGCTAAGCTAGGTAAATAGGTCATTTTGGAGCTAACCTAGGTAGTTATGCCATTTTTGAGCTAACTAAGCATATTTATTCATTTTGGAGGACAAAATGGTAAGTGTAGGTCATTTTAGAGCTATCCTAGTTAAAATCGGTCATTTTGGAGCTAGGTAAGGTTATTTTGTCCTTTTGGAGGAAAATAAACTAATTATATGATAGTTTGGAGCTAAACCAAGGTTATTATGCCATTTTTACCTAAGTAAGCTAATTATGTCATAAATGAACTAGGTAAGCTAAGTATAGATCATTATTTAGCTATCCTAGGTAGTAATGACATTTTTTAGCTAACTAAGCATATTAAGTCATTTAGGAGGAAAAAAAGGCTAATTATATGTCATTTATAGCTATCCTCGGTAAAGTATGTCAGTTCAGAGCTAAGTAAGGTTA